ATATCAAATAGATCTAATTATCTTTTCCTTGTTTATCTATCTTTTTGTATTACTATTTTTACCTTTAACAATATTAAAAATTTTTATTTTCTAAATCACGTGTTTTTGTGGACACTTTTTTTTTTTTAAAAAAAGTTCAGCTTATCGAGAGTTGACCAGTATAGGTCAAATTCAGAGTTTACTAAATAAATTAGAGAAAATAAAAAAATGCCATCAAATATTAACTACGAATGTGGTCAAAACAATACGGATTTAAACGGATCATATCTCTACATGGTAGCTCCGCTATAATTTTAGATAATAATTATTATGGCTAGTATGGGGTAGAGAAAGGAGCACTCGTTTTATGGGTTAATTTTTGACCGGCCTTTATATTGTATTTTAACATTGTTAGCCCGGGAAAGTCACGGGATACGACGCTAATGCATCCCGTATCCAGAATTTAGAGTTAATATTAGTTAGATGAAGTAAAATGTAGTCAAAAGTTTAGATTGCTTACCTTATAGCTTATTTTTGCCCTATAGTCTATTTCCTCCTTGGTAATATCCTATAATTTCGATATAAAAAGAGAGTACCATAGTAAAGGATTAAGATTCGATTTTAAAAGAAAGATGACCAATTAATTATTAGTGCCTTGTTAGGAAATTTTTAATTAACAGCTTACCTTTTAAGTACATCGTGTTATGTAAGGGAAAGATTACCGTGAGCACCACAAGAAGGAGGAAGTGGCACCGGCGTATCTAAGTCAAAGTAATAGAAACGCCTCACTTACCTGCGGTTACGCGAGTTTAGGTCCAGTGAAGCGACAGACCTGTCGATTTTAAACCCCGAAGTTATACCGATTGTCATGGCACTGCGTTATATTATTGGATTAAAGTCACATGCATACTGACACGTCAAGAATATTTATCGCGTTTGGAAAGTTTGTTTTTCTTTATTTCCTAGTACTGCAATAATGGAAGGTAAGTTTATAATTTCTTCTTGGCATGTTTTTGAATATTTTTATAGTGATCATGAACCTTCTTTTTTGTAGAAATCTTACTAAACGACTCTGATTATTTCACTTTTGATCACGAATGGTCTCTGATGAGTTTTTTATTGTACCGCCAACGATGTATAGATTTCGAATTAGACAAACACAAAGAACACGATCGATATGTCCGCAGACTTACAGCAGTACTTAACTGGGAACAATCATCTAACGACGCGATTAAATTAGCTAAATATGCGATTAATGAATTACATGTTCGTTTTCTATTTATCTTAGCAAATGAGTCCATATTTCTTTGGATAGGATTGCAATCTGAGTTCAACCACTGGTTGCGGTCGGTGGTTTCATTCTACAATAAAAAGAACCACCAACACTTATGATTGCGGCCAGATGTGCATGGTTTGCGGCTCCAGTGGTTTTACTAAACAAAATATTGTATTTTTTTAGAAAGAAAAGAAATCCAAATCAATCGATATGTTCTGGGAAAGTGTTATGTTGGCAGAAAATCGAAAAATGATAGCTATATCTAAGCGCGCAGTTCTAACGGTATAGAATATTTGTTTATTTAAATATAATGAGATATATAGTGCGATAAAAAAATCTGTTATTGCAGGAAAAACAAACTACTACAGTTACTCAGTCAGCTTTCAAACAAGATTTGATTAATCATGATAAAGAGAATACAGATGACAACTATTCGCGTAAGCGTGAACATACTTCAGAAGATGAAGAAGATGAGGTAGTTATCTTTATATCATTTTTTAAATATAGAACCATAACAAAAAATATAAATATATTGTTTTATAACTGTTTTTAGGGAGAAGAACATTTAATTAAATGGAATCTTAGACCGCGGAAAAAAGCAAATTATGTAGATGTTTCAAGTTCTGACCTATCGGAAAATTATCCTCAAGAAAATGTGACCTTAAAAGTAGATGAATACAAATCGAATGGTAAATTGCAATTTAAAACACAAATATGTAAAGGATCGACTGTATATATGTCCTTTATTAATAATTATATTAATTAAAGAACAAGAAAATGACGATCATGAAGATACAGAAAGTCTCGAAGAATTACATTTATCTAACGTTGCGTTACCACTCAAGATTCACTTACAACAAACATCATTGTCATCTGTTTTGAAAAAATATTGTGCAAAAAAAACAACCTCGCCATATGAGTAAGTTATAATAATGACTTACTAATATCTTCGGATTACTATTTATGTTTGTTTATTATTTTTTCTTGTAGTCCAGCCCACAGTTTCATTATAGATTTATCATCATCATCGAAAATAAAAGATGAATTCAGTAACGAATGGTGGTCGGAGTTTTTGAAAAGAAGGCCTGAGGCAGTAAAAAAAACCTATCATTATGAAATCGAACCATTTATTATTCATTTATTTGAAAATAATGTAAGAATACGTATCTTTAAAAGTGAAACCTTGTATCGAGTTAATATTATTAAATTACATAATATATATAATATCTAGATGGACTTATCTCAAGCCCGTTTGAAGTGGTATGAACTTCGAAATGTGGCTGCTCCTACCTACAATAATGAGTTTTCATATGCTGAAAACGACTGGGAAAAAATAAGGCGCTGGATTGAACGAGTAATAGGGCAATTGTATGTTAGGAAACTTATGTTTTTCATACAACTTAATAAAATAACTAACATCTGTTTATTGTTATAGTCTCGATGCATTCGAATCATCTAGAAATCCGCTACAAAATAATTGTCTTGAACGTGAATGGACGGGAGATTATATCATTCCATTAATACAGGGAGTATTAAAACTAGATGGTATATGTTATATCCCATGGTAAGTTAATAAATCTATATTATTAACTAAATATTTATGCAAAATAATAATTTCATCTTGTTTTTGATATATTTAAGGGGAGAAATATCAGTCTTAGCAACTCAATATCGTCGCAATAACGAGAAGGATATTTATATGGAAAAAGTAGCCAGAAGTCATCTGGCTGATTTATTATGCAAATACGAGCAGTATGAAATTGTTTGCGGGTTAATATGTGGTGGTCCACTTTCCTATGATATAACCAAACATTCGTTCGACCAATTTCATTTATCCCGAATGATGAAAGATATGTTGGACGATTTAGAATTAAAATTTCTTAATTCTGGAAAAGATGGATTAAAACTGTATACAATTGGAATACAGGTATACATGCAGTATAATGTTTTGAATTTAAATGTGAAGGTATTAACATTTTGCTTACAATGGTTTAGACACATATGACAGAAGTAAATGTCTACTTGATTGAAAAACGCGAGGTATATTTTCTCCATCACCTAAAATCTTTTAATCTACCGCTTTCATTCTCTGCATATCAAAGCTTAAAAGGCGCATTAAGAGTAGCATGGAATATCAGGGTGAGTTTTTGGTTTTTTTATACGAATTGTAATATCAAAATTTTTTAATTATTATTATTATTATTAAATTAGGGATTAGTTAATTCTCTTATTCAGAAATTTGACGTTATTTTTGATAATAATGATGGGTTTAAAACTCCACCAAGTGTGTCGGACAATAAGAAAACCCAAGAAACACCGCCAAAACAACCAAAGAAAAAAGGAGAAAAAGGAAAAAATAGAGTATAATATTATGGGTTTAGTGCAGATCTTCCAGATCGGCTGAACTTTTTTTTACAATTTTTTTTTTTTTTGCGATATATTTTCAATGTCTAAAGGAACCAAAAGACATGCGCTTACTATTGAATTAAAAAAGCAAACTTGTCAATATTATAATGAACATCCTGAAATTAAGCATAAAGAATTAGCTATTAGCAAATAAAGAAAAATGGATAAGCCAAGATATTTATCTAATTCTCTATTATTATTCGTTTCTCGATTTATTTTTTCTATTTATTAAATTTTATTCAAGTATGAATTAATTTCATCGTTGAAATCCAAGTTTTATATTAATTTACCACATAACAGCCTGTTCATAAGCTTCTTCTTTCTCAAGTTGAATAGCCCAAGAACAATACAACTCTGATATTACTGGGCCTTCAGGAATAAGTCGAAGTTTTGCGAGTACAATAGCCTCACTGTATAAATAAAAATTGATAAAGTAGGTTTTCGTTTGATCATGAATTTGAATCTTTCACTTATCGATAAATCTCGGCTTTATAGATGTCAATAGACTGATATACAGTAACTCCCCACATGCTAACCAACACATAACCGCCCCGTGGGATCATTTTTTGCGGCAAGCTTCTCCGCTTGCAGACGCATTAAAGATTGATATACTGTACATCTCGTCCGGCTATTTTAATATTATAACGAGTAGAAAGTTCTTGTTTTCTTAACAGAACTTAACTAGAAATTATTTGATAATAATTCCAGTGGCAGACTTGGGTTAACTTCTAAGCCATCTAAGCCAATAGACTGCTCTGGGGAATAAACTTCAAAGTATATATTAAAAATAGATATAATGAGAAAATTTTTATATACAGGTGATAAAATGAGAATATTGTAAATTACCTTTTTCAATTGATCTTGTATTATTTCCTTTCCCAAAAAATAAATCTATAGATAATGAACTTTGTTGATCATAATTATTCAAGATCTTTTGTCAGCTCAAAATTCCAATGCTTTTATTAAATCACTATCATATAACCTTTTGCAAGATCAAAGATGCAATATTGAAGGTTCTTAAATCGAACAGGTGTTGTTGTACTTAATGACAATAAATTTGCTCTTTTTTGATATACAAATATCTATTTTGCAATTGGGTTTGATGAAAAGATTGTTTTTGCATATGAAAATATAGACATACTTTAGCCATTGATAATGCTTGAGGTTATTTTAATTCAATATTTGCTTTAAAAAAAGGAATTTGATAAAAAAAAATTTGAAGCCATAGATAATAACAAGTATAGTATTTTTTAGTATTTTTTTTGAAATTTCAAATAAAAAATATTAAATAGATTATTTAAATATGGGTAATTATTTTTGAAGGTGAATCAAAATTTAAGGTATAATTTTATTATCCTAAAAATATAATCTAAAATTTTATATCATATGATATTGATTAATCATATAATTTTTTATTGATTTAAATTTCTGAGTATTAAATTTTAAAAAGATTAAAATATTTATATCTTAATCAATATATAATATTATTTAATAAATGAGTATTCATTTTGAAGCTTATGTCATGGGCTTTCATATAAAAAAAAGTTTATTAATAG